CAAAGTCCCTGCAAAAACTCCTAAACAGTACTCACTCAAGAGTCCCTTCCAGTCAGATGCCGACCTCTGGTGCACAGCTGCAGGCAGCTGGCCCAGCCTCTCTCACTCTAACTGCAGGACACAATGCTGGATCAACCCGCACAGGTTAATTAGGAGGCCTGGAGTTACATCAGTTCCCAATGGTAATAATTGGATGCGCCGTGGGAGAGTGAACAAAATATTCCATAAAAGGAAAAATGGTTTGGTGAAACTAAGGGGGCAAAGGATGGGGAGACTTGAGAAAATACGCAGGGGTCTCCGGGCTTTCAAAGTGGGGGTTCAGCGTAAGTTAAGAGAAAATGCCAAGTGGAAGGGTTACTCAAGAAAATAGCCACTAAAGTAATAATGCTTATGGTAAGCAAAACATATTAAACCCCGATGTTGCACAAGAGGTGAACACAAACAATAGAATATGGTATTCAGTTATGGCTGGAGCCAGTCAACAGCAGAAAGAGACACAGACTACACACATGAATTAGAAAAGATCCCACTGAGTCTGTAGATTGAAGAGCACATTATCCATATTCATAATGTACACTGATAAAAGTAAAACCATCAACTTGCTAACAGGAAAATGTAGTTCCTCTCTTTCAGCCCATAATGGATGGATCCAGTAGCCAAAAAAAAATTTACTAAATAAATAGGCAAAGAGAATAAATACAAATATAATGACTGTGTGTCTAAGTATCATGTATCAGATTTGTAACTCAGAGAACAAAAGCATCACTTTCAAATATTTGTGAATGAAAAAACTAGCTGTTTGAATGTGAAATATTCAGTAAATTAAAGATAATAGAGGAAGTAAGTGTGTATACACTCTTACTCAAAGACTCATTAAGCCATGAAACACACAGAGTAATCTAAAATAAATATTTCTGGGTCAAAGGCACCAATCTGGAAAGTCTATTATGTAGCTTCAAAGTATGTGGCATTCTGGAAAAGGCAAAGCTATAGAAAAACCCTGAGTGATCACTAGTAGATGGTGGTAGATAGAGATGTGTCCAGGAATACTGCTGAAGGCTCTACACGATGCAATGCAAAACAGCTTCCCAGAATTAATAATTCCCCTTTCCAAGCCTCTGATAACACTAGGCTGATGAACTCCACCGGAAAGCAACCAAAACACATACTATAGATGAAAGGCAATGGATGGACTAAAATCTGAATAGGACAAATATTTAATCAAAATATGAGCAAAAAAGGAGCAAAAGAACCAAAATAAAAGAAAAAAAAAGAGGGAGCAAGCAGCAGGCAGCCAGTCACATCAAAAGCACAGACATGAGTAACCACTCCAGTTACAAGGCAGCGATAGCTGGACTGGATTAGCTGTGAGATCTGTGGGACTGCTACAAGGAAATACAGAGAGCCAGTCAGTAGAGGCGAAAGGATGGAAAGGGATGTTCTAGTGGGGAAATGTAAGTATCAAAACAGTGGAGGTGCTGAAATAATATCAGATTTAAAACCAATCTTTAATACACCAGGCATTGCCAAGGATAGAGAGAAACCCTGAGAAGCCTGGGAGGTGGTTTGGCGTTTAAGACCACTAAACCCCTCTCGCAGAGGATCCAGGTTCAGTTGCCAGCATCGTACCTTTTCTAACTCTAGCTCCAAGGGATCAGATGCCCTCTTCTGGCCCCCTGAAGTACTTAGAGGTTCATGATACACATAAACTCATACTCAAAAAAAAAAAAAACCCAACAACTCATTTTTAAAAAATAATGGCCAGGCTGTGGTGGCACCCACTTTTAATCCCAGCACTTGGAAGGCAGAGGCAGGCAGATCTCTGTGAGTTCAATGCCAGCCAGCCTGGTTTACAAGTGCTAGTTCCAGGACAGGCTCCAAAGCAACAGAGAAACCCCTGTCTCAAAGCACCAAAACATAAATATATAAATAAAATAAAAATAATGAAAGTAAAATACTCATACAGATACACACAAATTTACCTATTTTTTAAGAAAATATTTTAAAGGGGAAAATTGAATAAGGAAACAAAGATCATCTTATCAGGAATACATATATATAAACATATCCAAAAAAGAAGCAAAAATGGCAAAACTAATAAAAGAACTAAGTTACACAATGACAACTTTTAATACTTCATTTCTCTTAGATGTATTTTTGTATGTGTCTGAAATGTCCCAAAAGCTCATGTATTGAACACTTAATCCCTAGAGAGTGGCACTAGCTTAAGAGACAGAGCTAGTTGGAAGAAGAGACCTAATGAGGGTCTGGCCTTAATCACTGGCTTTCTCTCTTTCTGACCCCTGTTCCTCATGAACTATGTCCTCCACCTGCTTCCCAGCGCTGACAAATGCTCGATCATATAGGTCCAAGACAACTTGGATTGAATTGTCTGGAACCATTGGCCAACGTCAACCCTTCTGTCCTTTGGACTGGTTTTTGAAGGTACTTCATCATGGCTACAATAAAACTGACTAACGGGCAACCACGGTAAAGCTGGATACAATTCAGTCACAGTGCAGATCGCTAAATTAACATTATCAAATACATTAACCTAAGTCATGTTTCAGTCAACTTAAACATAAAATTGGTACCGTCTTGAAGATAGATAGCAGTTTAGTTCATAAACTAAATCTCAGCATATTCATAAGGTCTTAAGTGAAGGACGTGAGTTCTTGAGGCAGGAGAGATGGGTCAGTGACTACGATCACTGGCTGCTCTTACAGAGGATACGGGTTTGATTTCCAGCACCCACATGGCAACCCACACTAGTCTGGGACTCCAGATCCAGGGGATCTGATGCCCTCTTCTGGCCTCTACAAGCATCTGGCAGGTACATGGTACACAATGTACATGCAAATGAAATATTTATAAAGTAAAGTAATATTTTTAATTTAAAGATATAGGTTCTCTAAATGAAAATTCAGTACTATACAGATATTTAGAAAAAAATCAGATAATAGGAGTTCCAGCTTGCAAAGTATTTATGGATTCAGGAAGAAACCACCAGAAAAATAATTAGAAAATATCGCAGAATGGAACAAGAAAGACAACACATTACAATTTATGTGAGGCATGAAAAACAATAGTTGCAAGTCTAACTGTGAGTACTCACAGTAGAAAGCAAGGCAGATCTTACATGATAACCTTGCTTTCTTCTTTAAGCAGCTGTGGAAGAGGAAAAGCAAACCCCAAATAGATGGGAGAAATAAATTGTAGAGAATTTATTTCGAGTTCAGTAAATAGTAATCAGGCAATAGGGAAGTGCAGCAGGAGCAAAAAGCGTGTCTCTTTAAATCTAAATGAACAGATGAGTAGGAAACCCAGAGGACACAGATTGCCCTTAGCGAGAAGTGAAGACATCGCTAACATATTGTACTGACATCAAAGGGGAAATGAGGAATACTGTTAATAACTTTATATCATCAAACCCAACCAGCCCAATATGCTTAAGAAATGTATTTAAAAACACAGTTCACTAAAATTAAAGTAAATCAAAGAAAGCATAATTATATACTATTCTAAATAATTTTAGAAATTATTCCACCTAGTGATGTCAAGATTTCCCATGCTAATGCTATCAAACATCCAATCACTCATAAACAGAATCTTCTAAAAGATAAAGAATAGACTATCTCCTAACTTACTGTCTGAGGACAGGACAAGGCATATGTTAAACTGTGACAACACCAGAGTGACAAATGACAGACTACTGTACCTCACGCATGTCAGCACAGAGTTCTGTGCTGGAGAATAGTTGGAACTGCACTGTGCTTTGGTGAGTGGAATGTAATAAAAACTGTGGAAACACCCAGAGATGTGTGAATAAGGTAATATATGATGCAGGTGCATTTCAAACCAGTAGGGAAAGGTGGGATACTGAATAAATGATAGGGAGAAATTTACCTGGTTCATCTCTAATAAATCCAAAAGGACAAATGCTTGCTCTAGGCCAAAAAAAAAGGAATTTTACAGAAAAATTGCTCTCTTCACATTCATGTAATGCAAATTAAACAAAAAGTAATTTTTAAAAAAACATCTAGTTTATCGGAGACCTCAGGATTCAGATCAGATGCTTATAGCATGTGGGACTTGCTAATAGGATCTGAGGGTGCACTGCGAATGGGGTTCCTCCACTGGAATGTGATCCCCGTGGGTTAACCTGGTGATTTCATCAGCTGCATTCTCACTGTAGAATCCTGAGGACCACAGCATCTCCCCTTATTTTGTTTAATAAATGTCATGTGTGTATATCTCTCCAGGCAATGAATAATGTGGGTAATTAAAAGTCTAAGGATGATTGGAAGAATAATAATGATTTTGAAATGAATAAACAAAAATTTATATTGATGGCAAGCTGAGAACTAGTCTAACCATCTTGTAGATAAGTTGTATATGATTTCAGAATGTCTCTCATCTTTACCAGTTTACTGTCAAAGTAAGAAAGTTTCATTATACACACTGTTAATGAGATTAGGTACTAAAGGATGCTCTCTTGCATCAACATTTACACTTTTCCTGGTGGGCATTTGTCTATGTTGGGGCACTGACTTTGGTGAGGTCTGTCCATCTAGTCTTACAGAACAACTGAGTCATGCCTTACTCTTTCAGGCCATGTTGTTCCTCCTGCTTGGAATACTGCCTGCCTTAGTAGCTCCTATTCAAATATTAGCTCAAGTGTTTCTACAGGGAAACCTCCTCTAATTGTTTGCCTTATGAATTGAGTAGAAACTTTTTCTCTATATTCCCATAGCTTTCCCTACCTAACTACATCTATTTACTTAGGGTCTCATTCTAAATTACCAATTTGCTTATAAAATCACTTCTCTGGTGCTTATCATAGAATAGAAGCTAACTTGATGCATTGATGAGCTTAATGGTAGGACTTCCCTTCTCCTCTGCTTTTCCAGCTTACGTTATTCAATTGACCACATAATTGATTTCTCTGCATATGTCTGTCTGGCTTCATAGCATTTTCAAGTGCAAGACATCATACTCACTTGTCCAGAGACATCCCCGGGAAGACAAACTTGCCCAGGTAGACGCGGCAGATGGCACTCAGAGGAATCTGCTGCGTCTGCACACAGCTAAGCATGATGAAGTCATATTTGCAGATCAAGAGGGTCTTGTCTGTGAGCATCAGGATCTTCTCCTTCTCGTTGTTCCAGTGATCAATCCTGTAGGGACAAACACAGGGCGAAACAATTACATGGCCTCTCGAATAGCAACAACAGCATTCACTAAAACATCAAGCACTGCCCAGAACAGGGACTGAGAAATACCTACTGCCACTCTTTTTCGATCTGTCCCAGGTGTAAGAGATGAGTGAAGGATAAAGAAGTCAGGGAAAGAAACGTCTTATGACCAGGGAGCTCCCGATGGTTCCCCATTAGACAAACTCATTTGAGGAAACCAAAGTCTGTATCATCTTGGCCTCCAACCAATTTGTACTTCACACCTCTCCGGCTCTCCTAAGAAACTTTCATGGAGCAGTCCTCCTCCAAGGATACCAGGAATGTCATTGTCCTAACTCAGGCTACACCACAAAGCCCTCTCAACTAGCTTACCCTGATAAGCTTACACTGATAGATACCCAACTAGCTTACACTGATCTCCAGGAACCATTTGCTATGCGGAGAGGAAGCAGAGACTTAGATGCAGAGACTACCATGATCTAAGCTTATCACCTCACATCCAACTGCGGATAGATAGCCAAGCAACAGAGCAACAGACACTTGGTAAGTGCTCACTGATTTGACTCGCTCCCAAAGTGAGAAAGCCTTTGGGGGAAACAGGAAGTATTTTGACTGTGAATTAAGAATTCTGGAAGGAAATACAAAGGAAATACAATAGTGCTTTCTGATTAAGAGGGAGTGATCATATTCTGCAGTTCTTGTCAGTAGAGCAGATTCTTCAGGATTTAAGACTTTATGACTTATGGGGCCAGAGAGATGACTCAGCAGTCAAGATCATTAGTTATTCTTCCAGAGGACCTGGATTTGATTCCCAGCACCCACATGGTGAGCCACAGCCATCTGTGAGTCCACCCTCTTCTGACCATCATGAGCACCAGGCATATACATGATGCACATACATGCATGCTGTCAAAATAAGCACATATATAAAGATAAATTAATTTTAAAGAGACTTTATGTCTTATTAGAATTTATTGTGTGCTTTTTAGTAAACAACAGGCATTGTTTGTTTTGTGACCAATTTTTGACTGAGTTCTGAGCACATATAATCAATCTAGTGGTGGAGTGTTATGGACGTCCTGTCCCCAGCCATTTCCCGAGCAGAAACCATGGTGTAGTTCTTGAAATGTGAAGCGAATGACTCTGTTCCCTGCACTTTACTGCGCAGTTTCCCCTTAACCTAGGCTCCTAAGACAAACTACCCATCTCTATATGACCTGGACTTTGCCCAGAGTCGTCTTACAGCAGTGAGAATACTTGGTGTTCTAGTTGTGGTTCAAATTTGTGGGTTTCTTAAGCTGCCTTTGAAGCCTGTCACCTTATTGAGTTGTCTAGAAGCAGCTTAACCCTTTCTCTTCCTGCATATATCTACATAATTTATTTTTAAATTTTAATTTATTAAAGCATTTTACAAATGCATTGCATTTTATTACATGATTGCGATTACATGTAATTTTATTATAATTACATAAATATATTTGAGAGTGAAAGTATAAAATCCAATGTGAAGCCCCATGGCTTCCGTTCTGAGCGGCGATTTCAACTGTATTTAAGCTCACAAAGTTGTACCATCTTTGAGTCTGGCTAATTTCATTGTCTGATTTCTTTCATCTGCATAAGTTCTCAGAAAGAATAAAGTACAAAGTGTTCAGCAGCAAGCACCGTAAGGACACTGGCCATACAGAATAAATACTGCTTATAGAAGGTGGCGTGGTTCAAGTAAGTATGGACTATCAGCCCTATTTGTACAAAAATGTACGAGGAAATGGTTAAGGTTAGGGTTGGTGTCTGTGTCTATGAAATAAAAACATGTGTCTGAGAAAATGAGCAGATGTCAAGGATGATTTTGGGTCCTTTGAGGAGATGACTATTATGAATGAAAAGATGAATTCTGTCATTTAGTAGTCCTTTACAATTAGAGCTATAAACTTTTGGTGTAAGTAACTTGTCTATGAAATGGATACAATACGTACCTCATTATTCTGGGGGAGGAGTATGGAAAATGACTCCATTGGGGATCTAAACTTCTCAGTGCTTACTATGGTGTGGACTTAGGTCACTAAGGGGCTTTGGGCAACGGGATCTATATGTCACTTTCTTTGTGGTCTAAAGATGGGAAACAGGAAATGAAGTTACATCCATGGGAGGAGGAACTGTAGAGGAATGAGAGAGGAAACTGGAGACAAAATAAAATAGAAAGGGAAACGAGTGGGCATAGTAGCCGAGCGTTGGCTGGAACCCCAGTGGACAATGGCCATAGTTCTAGATAGAAAGTTAAGTCAGAGTTACAGGATGGTGCAAAGAAGCAGCCTCGAATCCAAGCAGTCTCACTGAAGCCAGGATTCTGTGGTTCCCACCCACTCTAAACAGCAGCCTTCAACTCCTACTTCCCAGAGAGATGATTCTTGATAGTTGACTTAACACGGTCTGTCTTAGGAAGATGGAAAGACTGAGGTGTCCTACCAGCTATCTGCGTAAACTTCTCAAAATAGATCATGTCTGCTTAGCAGTGTGTTATATACATGGCTGTCTAATAAACCAGACTTGTTTAAAGTCTGAGAAAAAGAAAAAAAAAACCCTGCAGCTTTTGGTTGAATGGTTTTACTGAAAATGTCAGCACTCCATAATGAGATTTATTTTAAAGGTAAAGGATTCCGGGGGGGAAAAAAAAGAGGATTCTTTTTAGGAACACAGAGTGCTCTGCTGTGACACAGACTCTGCATAATTTACATGTCGGGAGGCCTGAATCCAAGTAAACACACAGGCCTATAAAAAGCTCTGACCACCAGCTCCAGCTCCTAGGTGGTGGTGTTTATTTCGACTTCAATCATATCTTCATTTCTTATAGAACTCAAGCAGACACCTCAACCACATAGTCCTGAGACGAATGCCCTTGAAGGCTGGAGGGCAATAATAGCAAACACAGGAAAAGGAGTTACAGCCACACAGCTCTGCCGCAGCTTGGGGAGATTACTGAGGTCTGGGACATCAATGCTCTCTTTTACTGCCCACAAAGTCTAACCCTTTAGTCTAAACGTGATCACTCCTGTTTTAAAGATACGTAAACTAAAATGGCACACTGGGTATGTTGCACATAGGTACACGGTCCTAAAATGAATATTGAGATGTCCAATCTAGGCACAGATTTTGTCAATTGAGGTTTCTGTCCCGCCAGGTCCTGTATTCCTTCAGTCCCAAAGAAATACACAGAGGTCTGCATCAATTATAAACTGATTGGCCCATTAGCTCAGGCTTTATACTAACTCTTATAACTTGTATTAACCCATAATTCTTGTCTGTGTTAGCCATATGGGTTGGTGCCTTTTTGGTGAGGTAGTCACATCTTGCTTGCTTGATGTGTGGCTTCCTCTGTGACAACTGCAGCCTGAAACTTTCCTCTTCCCATAATTCTCATTGTCATGCCTCTACTTCCTGCCTAATCACCATAACCCTGACTATACTTCCTACCTGGCTACTGATCAATCAGGATTTTATTAAAAATAATACAAATGACAGAATAAAAGACCATTTCCCACAGCACTTCCCCCATTAAAAAAAACCCAAGAACTCTAAATCTAATCTCCTTTGTTTATCTTTTCTCCTGACCATTATCTATAACAACTTGTAACCAACATTTTAAACAAAGAAATATATCCATAGTCCATTTTGGAGGAATGTGGGCATAGTTTTTAGGCTACTTCCTGATGATTGGGGATGCTGATAATCTTATAGGGACCTAAAGAAAATTTAGAATTATGATCAAGTCCTGACTGGAGTACCCTATAAGACTTGATCATCTCAGCCAGCAGTCTTGAGGCTGTTTTGGATATAGAATTCAGACATCTGGGCCATCTGTTCCTATTGGAGATTTCTCAGGGGGTCTTTCTTGATTAAATATTCTCTGTTTAACCTAGAAGGAATCTACAGTCTCTCAGTTTCTATGGAAACAAAAGTAAAGCCTCTTCTCCAAAGTAACATATCTTTTGACTTCAATTTTAAAGTCAAGGCATTTACAAAATATTTGTTTTCTTAATCTAGCAGCATTTATATTTAAATATCTTTTAGCAGCTGTTGCTCCTTCCTCAGCTGTTAAGCAATTTAATGACAACATAATAATATATAGTATCCAGATATTCTGTGTATTTTTTCATTTTTATGTGGTTTTATTTTAAACTTGATTTTTTTATTTTTATTTTTAATTTTTGGTTTTTTGATATAGGGTTCTCTGTGTATCTTTGGCTGTCCTGGAATTCACTGTGTTGACCAGGTTGTCCTTGAACTCACAGAGATTCACCTACCTCTGCCTCCCAAGTGTTGGGATTAAAGGTGTGTGCCATCACAACCAACTATTCTATTTTTTTTTATTTTAAGGACTTTATCCTTTTTTTCTCCCAAGCCTACATGTATTTTTAAATATACAGTAAACCATTTAGATGTTTTCTTCATCTTTAGATCTATCTTTACTGTATATCGCTCTTTTCTTGACCACATGCATTTTTAATTTGCTAAGTGATATGGCTAAGATTAAAGCTGTGGTTTCAGTGGCTGAATCCAGCCCATTCCTTAGACTTTTTCTCAGAGTCTAGCCTCATGGCAGAGGTACCAGCCAGAGTCATGCTTATTGTCACAACTCTAAGGTGTTTTAAGGTCCCTGCCACCACCAAAAAGTATGTAGTCAGCTTTTTATCAACACCATTTAAATATTTTGTGGCAGGACCTCTTAAAAGAGCTGCAAGGTTTTTCAGCTAAAGCTGAGTCAGGAAGCCTCTCTTAAATGAGAGTGCTTGTCTCTAGCAAGCAGAGCCCACCCAAGAAAAGTGCCGCTATGAATAAGCGAGGCTTTACTCTATTCTTTTCTGTCTAGAATTATTTCCCAAGCTCTCGTGGGCTTTTTGTGGATGCAGTTGTCCCATGTTGGGTGCCATTTGTTGACTGAGGTTTCTGTCCCACCAGGTCCTGCATTCGTTCACTCCCAAAGAAAT